AAAAATAATATTAATGAAAATTAAATTCTAATTAATATTTTCTATTCAATATCTGATTCATCAGAAGTGTCATTTTGACTCTCGAATTCGTCTGATTCATTAGATTCTTCCTCATTTGCTTCCATTTCGACAATGTCCTGGATTTTCAAAGGAGTTTGATCTCCGATTAAACCTGTTGGTTTTAATAAATCATCAAAATGCCAACCATAGTTTTCAGGATTTGACTTCGCACACTTCGCACACTTTCTACTATTCAGGGTCCCATCACAAGCGACTGCGATGTTGGGTCCTTTATTATTACACAGTATACTTAACTCGGATCTCTTTGTCACACACTTCCACGCGCGTTGAAATTAAAATCTTTAAAATTCGCAAACCCCTAATAGGACCGGAATTTTCGCAGACAACCCCTATATCAACGTGTTCGCAATTAAACAGCGCTTATGATGATATAATTTTTTTTTAATTATCCAATCCAGTGAAAGTAACTGGCATCGATATACCTGTGTTTACCTGACAACCCAGTAGTTCGCCCAGGTGAATAGTAGACAACCCAACGGCTGCACATTCTATACCTTTTATACTTTCAGTCAGGACAATTTTTTTTTATTATCCTGATGTTGCAACATTTAATTAAAAATCATTTTTCGAAAGATAATTAAAAATAGTCCGCCCAGGATTTTTTTAGCCAACCCATTTTTAATATGTTTTTTAATATACTAAATTCATGATAAAATATATTTCGTTCTATTATCAGCTCGGTGAAGGTCGATTTAGGTTCGGATCTTAGACTATACCGCAACAGGAAACATCGTCAATAATGCCAGCGGTCAACAACTCCCATTTATTCTCGAAATCGAATGTTTTGCAGTTTTCAACGATTAATTGTATCCACCAAATTGCTATGTTACACTCATGAGACAGCTTAATTCATTAGGTATCGATTGGATCACGAAATTTGGTTCGTGGGACATTCCATTGAATAATAGTTGTGATGTCATGTCTCTGACACAAAATGTCATGTCAGTGCCAGATTCTGAAGAAGGTATTCAAGGTGTTCTGCAGTTTCACAGGAGATTTCTAGATATATTAGATGATTCACTAGGCCACTGTAACGAAATGAAGATGAAATTACATGTTTCCCAAGAAAGCAAATCAGTTTTCCGTCCAAATCGACCAGTGGCTCATGCTGTACTAACACAAGTTGAAGAAGAACTCAATCGACTCAATAATCTCAATATAATCTTTTCAGTAGATGACTCCGAATGAGCTGCACCTATAGTAGTCACAAAAAGAGACAATAAAAACATTCAAATTTGTAGAGATTATTGAACAGAATTGGAGAAGGTTCTCTAACTCAACAGATTTTCACTTTCTACTGCAGCAGGAATTTTCTTCAGGTTAGCGAACTCGAAAATATTCAGTGTCTGTGTCTGTTGCAATCCTTCAAGTTGGGGTTGGGGGGAATTCAAGGAAATACCTCATATTCCAACAAATGATAAGAACTATAATATCAGGCCTGGAAAAAACAGGAATATTTTGCAGAGGATTCCATTAATTGGATTCCATCACAAGATCTGGAAATGTAAGTTCCACTCTATCGAAATCAAGTATCGAGAGAGTATCACCATTTAGTATGGAAAACAACCTGATCCTGCAAGACTTGAGGTCATGACATATATGCCGTCATTTCATGATATTTCTACACATGATGACTGTGGAAGAAATCAACAAAGATATGAACTATGCAACTGGTGGATACAGGAAGCACGGTCTCGACTACGGCGATTGGAGTCTGGGACCAACATGCAGACGCATATAGAAAGATTCTTCATTTCCCTAAAGTTGAGACATTTAATCAACTGAATATTTTTATCGTCTCTCAGGGGGTGAGTCAGATTGTTGCCAGTCTCATACACCAGTGAAAAGGCGCCAGAAATAGTCCTTTGGAGATCTCAGCAGACAAATCGATGATAGGTGCCAGTCAGTTAGGTACATGAAATAGTTAGAAAGTACATCAAAGTCAGTAGGGAGTTCTAGAAGTAGTAGGTGAAGTGCAAAATATACAAAATCAATGATAATAATGATGAATAATGAACTATATTCACATAGAAAATATGATTCTTAAATCTAGTCTTCTAATTCTTAGATGAATATTCAACTTATTCCAAGTTGAATGCTTGCAAAACTACTAGTTTGAATGAGATTCATATTGGAGAAAATCAACAATGGAAATAGGAAATTGCAATTGAATATTTTTGAGAAATAAATTTTTCTTGGAATTATGAAATTTATATGTTAAGATATTGAGAATTATCCAAATTATCAATAACTGAAGTAGAAAATAGAAAATTCAATTCCTCATGAAATAAAGAAATTTATTTGACTCGATATTGAAAATTATCAAAATTATCAATAATTATCATACAATATGTGGAATCAGAAAATTTGTACATCAAGAACAAATATCTAACTGTCAGAAAATTTGATTCACTTGTAACCAAATCATTGATCCCCCTTTCAAACAGATTGAAAATACTCAGGTATTATCAATAGAGGTGATAATTATTGTTTAAGCCAAGTAGAGATAATAATATCGATATAATGATATTCGAATGATGATATCGAGATAAGGATGTGAAGATAATAATTCGTAGGAATCAAGTCTGACGCAAATTCTGTATGATCGAATCGATAATAGGTACTTCAACCAGAGAATATATGTAATGCGAATTGTATATGATTGAATTTATATTTTATGATGAGAGAGAAAAAAAAATGGAACTCAAATGTAAGATTACAAGTTTGTCAGCAAATGGATAACTTGTAGGTTGAGTAAGATGTTTCCCAAAAATATGGTATAACCCAGAATATACTTGAGAAGTATAATGGAAGAATCTTAGTCACCATTCAAGTTGATGGAGCTTTCATTTCCATGAGCTGACAACTTTCACTTTCCACTTCTCGTCCTCGTTTTGTAAGATTCTGCGATAATAAGATACAAAAAAATATGGCAGGGCCTCTAATAATAGGAAATACTGCATCGAAGAACTTCAGAGGTAGCTTAAACCAAAGTATGAAACACGAAAAAGAAAATGTTTGGTTGAGCTGTAGATGAAATAACATGAAATTATAAAAATATCATTAACATCAGTGGTGTACGAATCAAAAATTCTGAATAATCAATTATAAATATGAATTCAATAAATGATTGCACTAATCCAAGAAGATTACGATTGTTGAAAAGCCTCATAAAATGGCCGTCAATCAAACCCCAATTTATATTATGCTATGATATTCATATTCTGTAAAATATATTAATTGAAGAGTTATCAATAATTGCAATGATTAATTAGTCTTGATATTGAATCGAAATGATTTTAGATTATATAGATATTTTTTAAAATGATACGATCATACCAAATTATCGTCTTCGATTGTGTTCTACGTTATGAACTGTTCTCTTTGGTGCTCCTGATGAGAAGAAGGATTTTTGGGTTCTTCGTTAACCTTCTTCTTTTTCGATTCGCAGCACTCTCTTTATATCGATATTATCGACGAACAGTTAGATTTCGTCTAAGTGAATTTTATTTTAGCAGATTTAAGTTAGCTGCTTCATCGTTGAAGTTGCGCTATCATTCGATAAATGGCACAAATGGTATTGAAATTGATTTTGAAGACATCCAGATATTTGTTGCAGATTTGAATTCAGATAACTTTGATAGATATAATTTTAAATTTCAACTTAAGGTAATGATTCGAAAACTGTATGTAGATGTATATGATAGTTAATGAAATAATCTGGAATTATTATGCGAAAATAATAATAATAAATGGAATGATTGAAAATTCATTACACTCCCCCTCTCCCTAGGTAGAAAAATTTTAAGATCACTTTCAAATTTTCCCATTGTCATGCAGATGAGGAAAATCCATCAGTACCCAAGATGAAACCTCGAAGAACACTATCAATACTATCAATAAGATATGAAAACTGATACAAAGATTTTGAATATTTGTGTGCGTTTGCACTAGGTTTCGGAGTTTGGCACTGGTTTGAAACCGTTTTTCACTTGAAAAATATCAACACAGACAAGACAGATGTTTGAGTTTTTTACTGACATTCAACAACCTCCCATCACAACAAAATCATACAGAATGATGAAATTATATATGAATCAACTTTATTCCGAAGAATATATACTTTCCGCAGAAACACTCCCTCCCAGTGATAAACTGCTGTTCATTACTCTGCATTTGGTTCCACATCGAGGATACATAATTTCACCACTGGCCTCTTGAATTTCCCTGATGCTGTTTCAACATCTACTATCCGGATGTTTCCATCAGTACCTGGATAAACAGATGTAACGATTCCTTTTGGCCAGGTATTTTGACAGAAGTCGCCATCAATAAGAATCACCACGTCGTTGACTTTTATTCGCCTTTTCGAGGACCTGAACGACTCAGTTCTCTTCGTAAGAACTGGCATTTATTCCCTGATCCAGCGTCGCCAAAAATGATCCGCTTGAAGTTGGGATATCCGCCAATGTTTTCTACCAATTAAGTCTGATTCATCGAAGATTCCTGGAGTTTGTGCATAACTTGAAGATCCTAGTATGAAGTGGTTGGGGGTCAGGGCTTCATTATCAGCATACATTCATGTATGTAGCACAAGCTACAACTACTGTTGTCATTCAAATGCTCCGTGAAAAATTGCGAAAACAAGTGATCAAACGTGGAATTAAATTGTGAAAACGGGACGAAGGGTTGTAATAGTGATTATTTGAACAAACACATAAAATTAGTGAATCTAGAACTTAGAAGATAGCCGCAAAAAGAGAGGTCTGTTCTATTGTTTATATGAAAATTATCTGTATAGATACGATAAGGATCATATTTGAAGTGTACGAAGCCCCCACCGAACGACAATAAAGCACAGAATAAAGTACATGTGTAGGAGTAACGAAAGATCGCTATTTGCTAGCTGTTTGCTGTTTGGCCAATACAAGTTCATACCAAAGTTTTCAGAATACGTAGTTGTCAACAATGGTTGATAAGGAAATCTCGAATGAGGATATCTATGCACTATTGCAATCTGTAGTGTCTCAAAATAACGAAATCAAACAAGAAATAAGAAATATCAACTCAAGAATTGATTTAATAACCGTCAGAGTAAATGGAACAAACGAGAAAGTGGAAAAACTCGAGGAAGAAAATAGGGAACTCAAAAGTCTAGTTGAGGGTTTGGAAAGACAGGCAAAAAAATATAATATAGTGGTCTATGGACTTCCCGAAACGAAAAAAGATACACTAGAGGACGTTAAATATCTTATTGAGACCCTAGATATCCAAGTATCTTCAGACATTGAAGTGAGAGACGCTTATAGAATTGGAAAAAAAGTGGAAGGTAAAATTCAACCAATAGTTGCAGAATTAACCACATACCGAATGAAAGCTGATATTTTAATTAAATCAAAGAGGAACGAAATACTTCAGAAAAAAGGAGTTTTTATCTCAAACGATTATCCCAAGAAAATTTACCAACAGAGGAAATTTCTCCATTCCAAATTGAAAGCTGCAAAATCTCAGGGACACACGGCACAAATAACAAAACACAATAGTCTACAAATAAATGGAAAGATATTCTCTTACCAAGAGTTGGTAGACGAAGAAGAAGAAAATCAACGAGAGATCTCATCTGCACCAGAAACACACAAGCCAAGTGAAGCCAAACGAAAAGATAGAGAAGAAACACCAGAAGAAGCAAGAAACTCAAAACCGAAAATATCCGCAGAGATTCGCACCTCAAATAGGAATAGGAATAAGCAGTAGAATAGTTGATTCTTATTTATACATTTGTTTTTCAATCATTTCATTTATATAGAGAATTAAAGAAAACAACACTAATGAATTCATTTATCAGAGATTTCAGAGATAATACTGTGGAAACAACATATGTTGATATTCCAGAGAATTGTAAATTTAAACTAAATACTAGGAAGCCTAATTTTACCATCTTTCACAATAATATTAGTAGCATATCTAAGAATTTTGATAGTTTTCAGACATTAATGAAGCAGATTTCGGTAGAAATAAATGTCATTGTACTAACTGAAACCTGGAAAGTGCACAACACAGAGATATTTTCACTTGAAGGCTATGATGCAATATACAGTAGCGGTGAGTATAACCAAAATGACGGCGTCATGGTTTTTATCAAGAACAATTTGAATCACACACATACATTTCACAAAATTCATGAATCTACAATAATTCAGGTTACAATCAATTTGAAAAACAATCAATATCTGACTATTACTAGTATTTACAGATCACCATCATCATGCCCAGATGAATTCAATCGGCAGTTAGAACAATATATTAAAAATTGCTTAAATAATCAGAATAATTATCAACATATCATAGTAGGGGACATAAATATCAATATTTTGTCAAATACGGATACTAGTCACGAATACATGAATATCCTTAATGAGGAATCTTTCAGATCTTGTATCAATATATACACACGTATACAGGGAGATGCACAGTCATGCATTGACCATATATTTGTGAAAAATATAATCAATGACTCTCAGTCCATAGTTTTAGAGTCTCATATTTCTGATCATTTTTCGCAAATATTCCAGTTTGAAACAGAAGTCGATTTGAAAGATGAAAAAATATACTACAAAAAAACTATTGATTATATAAGGCTAAAAAATAGAATGTCCAAAATAAATTGGAGTGAAATATACCATCTCACAAATTCAGATACCATGACTAACACATTCATCGATATCTTGAGAAATGAGGTACAGAATTGCACAAAAAGTAACAAAATTCGATATCATAAGAAAAAAAGTTGGATAACTTCGGGACTAATGACCTCTATAAAAAAACGGGATGAACTATACAGAAAATGGAAGGGAAATAAAAACGACCCGAAACGATTAGCTGACTTCAAGACATATCGAAATAAACTGAACAATTTGATTAAAGATACAAAGTCTGAGTACTTTAAAGACAAAATTGTAAATAATAAACAAGACTCGAAACAACTGTGGAATGTAGTTAAAGAAATATGTCCAGGTAAGAAAAAAGCTCCAGAATTGATCAATGAAATCGTTTGTGAAGATGGTAGAATAGTTTCTCACAGCCAAGATATTGCAAATGAGTTTGTTGATTTTTATACAGGGGTCGGGCGAAAGTTAGCTCAGAGTATAAAAAGACCTAACGACTATAAAGAGACAAAAAAATTTTTAGAAAATTCTTTGTACTTCCCTGAGATAACAGAGGATGAAATCTTATCGAACATCAAAAAATTAAAAGCCAAAAAAGCCCCAGGTGTTGATGAACTTCAATCAGAAACATTAAAAGAGATTGCAGGATTTATTAAACAACCCTTGTGTTTCATAATGAATAATATTATTCAAACAGGAAGATATCCTGTTATACTGAAAACTGCAATAATCAAACCGCTTCATAAGGGAGGGGATAAAAACAAATGTTCAAATTATCGACCTATTTCAATAATATCTAATATATCGAAAATTTTTGAAATGATTATAAAGGAAAAGATATCAAACTTCCTGAATAAGTATAATATCTTAAGTGAGTTACAGTTTGGCTTCAGGGATGGTAGGTCTACGCAAGACGCAATTGCTTATCTAACCTCAAATATCTCTAAATTACTAGATCAGTCAAAACCAGCACTTTGCATCTTCGTAGATCTCGCCAAAGCATTTGATACTGTTAGTCATCCAGATCTATTGAATTGCATGGAAGACATAGGTATCAGAGGAAATACTTTGCAGTTGTTACAAAGCTATCTGTCAGGTAGAAAACAATGTGTTATGATGGAAAGGAATATGAGTGAAATGAGGGGGGTTGAGTATGGTGTTCCGCAAGGTACTGTACTGGGTCCAATTCTCTTCAACATATACTTGAATAATCTGTTTTCTCAGAGGAGCACAGGCAGGATAGTTAGCTTCGCCGACGATACGGCAATTCTTTATAGTGATAGTTCATGGGAACGTTTATACCGAAAAGCTGAAGAAGATTTCGAAAGGATTAAAACTTGGTTCGATTCGCGTCTTTTGACAATAAACTTCGAAAAAACTAAATACGTCACATTCGCTTTTAAAACGCCACAGGACCAACCAACTCTCAAAATACCAAGAACAGACATTCAAATCCAACCAACACAAAATATAAAGTACCTGGGTATTATAATTGATGGTAACCTGAAGTGGGATATACATGTGAAAAAACTCACGCAGAAAATAAGAAGTCTTTTATCTAAATTTAAATATCTCAGAAATTTTCTTGATATAAACCAACTCCTCATGATGTATTATGCCTTGGTTGAATCACAGTTGAGATATGGGATCATTGCGTGGGGTGGGGCCTATGATAATCAAATAAAGTATTTGGAAATTATCCAAAAATGGATTCTCAAAATAATATTCAGGAAAAAAATTACTCACTCCTCAGAACAATTATATAAGACTGCTGGAGTCCTGGATATTCGACAAATTTTTTGTTTCATTATTGTTCTGGAACAAAAGAAGTCAACAAACTATAGAACAATTGTACATAATCATGATACTCGAACGAAACATAACTATTCCATACCAAAAGTAACGAAAACACTGGCACTTAGATGTTTTACATACCTCGGACCTCGGACATATAACAAATTGCCAGATGAAATTAAAAAACTTAATTCACTAAACATGTTCAAGAAATACGTGAAAAAATGGCTATTAGACTCACCAAGATGTGTTGCACACAAATTTATCGATCTGAAATTGTCTGTATAATAAGAAATAAAACAAGTTTTTTCTCTTTTTTTTATCTGGTTTTTCTCTGCTTTATTTTGAACTCTCATTCATGTTTATCCTTTTTTTTTCAAATCAATATTGTATAATTTTATATTATTGAAATATTCACATTGTAACCTTTATCTTCGATAGAAGTTTTGATTTAAAAGATTTAATTTTTCTATGGAAATAGCTTGAGCTGCAAAAAAAGTCTCTTATATTGTATCTCGCAGACAAGTCTCGACTTTTGCGATTCAGATTTATTGCTCCCATAATAGTACATATTATATGTCAACCGTATAATTTTTTTTACATACAGCCACTTACAGTAGATTCATTATTTATAATTTGATTATTTTTTCGCATATTGTACATATCTACCCATGTATGATGATGAGTTAATAAATATTATTATTATTATTATTATTATTATTATTATGGTCTAATGATACGTGGACTAACGGTCGGCTATTGACAATATTTTCCGCTTCAACAAGAAGGGTTTGTAGTAATTCCTCACGAGGAGATTTCTCTTTCAAAACCGCTCCCAAAGACAATTCAATAGATTTTATGAGACGTTCCCAGCTTCCACCCATGTGCGGTGCCAAAGGACTGATGAAATTCCATTCTATGTTCTTTGAGATTAACTCGAGTATCACCTTGTCTTGGTCACGTTCTTGCAGGGACTTCCGAAGTTCATTCTCTGGTCCACGGAGATGTGTTCCATTGTCCGAGAAAATCTTTTTAGGCCAACCTCTTCGGCCAATGAATCTTCTCATTGTCATTATGGCGGAGTCCGTACTCAAAGAATGGGCCAATTCTAAATGAACTCCTCTGGTACTCATACAAGTTAATATGACACCATAACGCTTTTCCTTTCTACGACCAACCGTTACCAACAGAGAACCAAAGTAATCCATTCCTGTGATTGTGAAAGGCCTCACGAAAGATTGTAATGGAGAAGTTGGAAGAGGACTCATTTTTGGTACATCTATCTTGACTCGTCTATTTTTACACTATTGACAACTACTCCAAGAACTCCTTACTGCTGATCTAATATTCAATATCCAGAATCGTTGACGGAGTTCATTTACTTTATAGGATTGACCATTATGATTCGCTTGTTTATGGTAGTGTGAAATCAGCAACTTAGTGTAGCGATTCTTCGGATCCAGAATGATAGGGTATTTTGTGTCTCCTCCCAAGTCAGTAGTATATATCATTTTACTCTTGACACGCAGTTAACCTTCTGAGCATAACATAGGCGATAGTTTGTGAAGCCGAGACGAGGATTCAACATGTTGAGCTTCCTTGATATCTTGAATTTCCTCATAAAAGTCTTCTAATTGCACATACTTTATCCAGAGGCTCTCAGCTGTGTTTATTTCTGTTGAAATCAACTCCGAATTGCATTGATAATTCTTCTTAGCCTTATTTACGGATCTCAGCATCCAAGCAGTTGTACGGATGAGCTGAGATACTCAAGTGAATGATACGCCCACAAATCTTCTTTTGATCTCAGTTGTATCAAATTCTGTACACTCTGTAAAAGGCCATTCCATTGCATCAAATTTCAAATAGTCTGGGCCGTTTATCCACCTTTTTTTGGGTCCACAGTGAAAGTATTTTCTATCTCTGGTTACTTCATCAGCTACATTGTCCTTAGTCGATACCCAATTCCATTGTTTTGAGTCGGATGTTTCTGTTATTTCGGCTAACCTATGAGCTATGAGAGGTTTGAAGACAGTGGCATCAGTTTTTAGTCAACTTATAACATTCTTCGAGTCTGTCCAGTGAAAACAAGTGTTGATTCCGATGTTGTGGCTTTCTTGAATCGTAACTGACAATCTGCTTCTCGAAACAGCAGCTTGGAGCTCCAGCCTTGGGATCGACATGGGTTTCAAAGGACATACCCTAGTTTTCGCCATAATGAAGCTTGTCTTTATGAAGCCGTCTATCTTGAATCTGAAGTATGCTACTGCCGAGAAGGCTTTTGCGCCGGCATCGCAAAATATATGCAGTTGCATCTCTTCCGCTTTGAGAACATCTCGACCATATCAACGAGAAAAAGACAAGAAGGCAATATTGTGGATTTCTCTCACCCATGACTTCCATTTTTTCAGGATCACAAGGAAAGTATTTTTCATCTCTGGTTGCTTCATCAGGTTCTCTATTTCTTTCTTTTCCTCTCTACAAGAAACGCTGACAGCATGTGTCTTCTTTCATAATCTGTACTTGGTGGAAAATTTCCATTATGTCCCCTGTAAAGATGGCCGGTGTTGACGGTACGGCTGTTAGCTCGCTCTGTAAGAAATGTAAAAGTAATGTGGTTTCTGGTTACAAATGTATAGAATGTAATAGTTATTTTCATCATAGTTGTGGAAAGAAACGACAAGTGAAAGTAATTTGTGATAATAATGTTATCTGTTGTGAAAAAACTGATGACAAAGTTGTCGAAAATGACGCAGCATTTTTTGATGCCGTTGATGAATTCTCGGACTCAAGTAAGAAGATTGATGTGAGCATTTTCAACTATGTGGTCAAGCAGAAAGACACCATAATATGTGAGTTACGAGATAAAATTAGCTTATTGAATGAACAGATAATATTATTGAATAAAATCAAAGCAATCGAAAATTCAAGCCCGAATTTTATATTATCCGAGGAAACAAAACCTGAAGCAAAAACATGGGCCAGTGTGACTGCTGACAAAAAAGGGAAGGACAATTCTTCCAAACAAAAAATTAATCACCAATGTGAGTCACACACAAAAACTGTAAAGAATAGTCCTCAGCCAATAATTAGTAAAATAACAAAGAAAGATGTTTCTAATTCTTTAGCACAGGTGGTAACCCAAACCAAAATGAATGAAATTATTAATTTAACGAATAATGAAAAATCTCCAAGTAATTTGAATTTGGATCAAGATGGATGGAGGGAAACAAAGAGAAAACGTAGGAGAAACGTTATTATTGGAAAAAATAGCACCGAGATTGTCAAGGGTGTGCCAAAATATATCAATTTGCATGTGTATAGACTCAAGCCTGGAACGACAACAGATGAGCTAACACATCTATTAAAATCTAACTTTCCAGAAGTTGCCTGCGAATCACTGAACTCGAAATTTCCAGAACTCTACTCCTCATTTAAGGTCACAATAATGGAGAGCCACTTCCGAAAAGCCATGGATCCATCATTATGGCCTTTCGGAGCTTGCATTAGTCGTTTTTTAGAGAAACGGAAGCAGGAGCCTCAAATAGGATAATGTTTGAACCCAATATATTTTTACTTAATGTAAACACACTTAGTAGTTCCAAAATAAATTATATAGAAAGCGATATCGATCAGCTAGCAATACCATTTTTATGTTTAGTAGAAATTGGTGTACAAAATGAATCTCTTGATCTCATGCATATTAATGGCTACAAATTAGTGAGTTCATATTGCAGACCCACAAAAAAATGTGGAGGTGTTGGTATTTGGTCCAAGGAAAACATTCGTGTGAATAAACTCAATATCCAGACATTTTGTGTTGAACAGCATTTTGAGATCTGTGGTGTCTCTTTTAAAATTGGTGAACGCCAAAATATAATATTGACGTGTTACCGATCGCCTTCTGGTGATGAAAAAATATTTTTTAGTAAAATATCAGCAGTGCTTGATTATCTGCATAAACCAAATACTGAATTTATTGTATGTGGTGATTTTAATTTTGATTTGTATAAAAATAATCATTTTAAATATTTATGTAATGTTTTGTCAGGTTTTAATCTTACTCCAATAGTTCAGTGGCCTACTCGAGTGACTAATGACACCTGTACTATTATTGATCAGATTTTTATAAGCTCACATGACAGTGACACTTGTTGCGTTATAGACAGTACAATTTCAGACCATAGGACTGTACTAGCCGAATTGAAATCACTGAGGCAATGCGGGACTATCTCCAAGGTATCGAAAGTGAAAAGAAGTTTCAATGAAGGTAATATTAGTAATTTCGAATATTCTTTAGGAACAGAAAATTGGTCATCCCTTTATGATATAGAGGATTTTAACGAAGCATTTGATCATTTTTACAATATTTTCTTATCACATTTTGAGGTGAATTTTCCCAAACGAAAATGCTACATGTACGATAAGAAAAAAAGCTGGGTAGATGGTAGCGTAGTATCTTCGAGCCGCAACCTGAAAGATTTATTCACTCTTAAAACATGCGATGACCGTTTGACACCGGTTTACAATGAAGCTAAGAAAAAGCACTATGCTCTATTGAATGCGAGAAAAAAGAGTTTCTATCAAGAACGCATAACGAATTCCGATGATGTTATACGTTCTTCATGGAATGTTGTAAGGGAACTCACAAACAACAAAAAGAAACCTAAGGAAATTTTCATTAGAAATGATGGTGTTGTCATAAGCGACCCCAATACTGTAGCTGCAAAATTTAATAATTTTTTCGTTGAAGGTCCTACTGATTTGATGAATGATATTCCATCAGTTAATCTCACATATTTCAATGACTTTAATGTGAAAACTATGTTTCTGAATCCAGTGTCCGAGGAAGAACTTTTAAAAATTATTAATATAAAGATGAAAAATAAAAAGTCAGCAGGGGAAGATGACATCCCAGCATTTCTTTTGAAAAGAATTATGCGAATTATTTCTGAACCTATTACATATTTAGTGAATAAATCATTTGAAACTGGATGTTTTCCCCAGAATATGAAAACTGGAAAAGTGTTGCCCTTATTCAAAAAAAATGATCCCACCCAATTGGGGAACTATAGGCCTGTTACAGTACCAAATAGTTTCTCAAAGGTGTTTGAGTATGCTTTCCTAGATAGACTCACATCGTTCTTAGATCAATTCAACATCTTAACAAGTAAACAGCATGGATTTCAGTCGGAAAGGTCAACGTCAACCGCTATGTTTTCATTTTATAAACAGATTGTTGATTATGTTGATGCAGGCGAATGTCCTGCTGCAGTTTTCTGTGATCTCAGCAGGGCATTTGACTGTGTCAATCATAAAAAGCTGTTGACTAAATTGGAAATGTATGGCATGAGGGGTGTATCCTTATCGTGGATATCTTCTTTTCTAGAACACCGCAAACAATTCGTTTCATTAGAAACTTTCTCGGAAAATAGAGTTCAACAATTCAACTCAGGGAATCTGATATTAGAAATGGGGGTACCACAAGGCTCAATTTTGGGCCCTGTGCTTTTTATACTCTACGTTAATCAACTCGATCATTTCATTGGCGATACACATTATACTGCATATGCAGATGATTTTTCATTCATTATATCGGCAGCAGAAACCCATGCACTTGAGAACAAATGCTCAGAATTGATGACCAAAGTTTCTGATTATTTCAATGATAATAGTTTGTTTTTCAACACCAAAAAAACAGAAGTTTTAAGAATTCATCATAGCCAGAAGAGGGTCGATGATTTGGTATTTAATATTGATAATAGTCCAGTGTATAGCATTCATAGCTCGATTAGATTCTTAGGCATCAATCTAGATGAGAATCTAAACTGGAAAGATCATTGTAAAAAAATTGCATCTAAGTTATCTTCTTTGAAATTTCTTTTCATCAATCTGAGAGATGTACTGGAGATGAATCAGATGTTAAATTTGTATTATGCACAAGTAGATTCAAGATTGCGGTACGGTATCTGTTTTTGGGGAAATTCTACTGATGTATCAAATGTTTTCATTGCTCAAAAAAGCATTATTAGATGCATTGCAAAAGTCTCACGTAGAGTATCATGTAGAGAATTGTTTATCAAATACAATATTTTGCCTTTGACATGCCTATTTGTATATGAATTAGGTATTTATGTGTTTCAAAACAAGCAAACATTTCCACTAAATGAACATTTTCATAATTATAGCACTCGACAAAGAGATCATTTTCATGTACCATTCTCCAGAAATGAAATATCATACAAGTCACCTGATCATATGGGTTTGAAAGTATTCAATAAGTTACCAGACTATGTAAAAGCCAGTAAATCATTGACTAACTTCAAAATCAAATTGAAAACATTCTTAATTGACAACTGTTTTTACAATATGAACGAATTTTTTTCAAGCACTGTTTGAGTTTATTTATTATATTTGCTTTGGTCTTTCTGAATATATTAGGGTTCGGAAAACTTTTGAACTGTAAATAGTATCTTCTTCTTCTCTATCTACTATTGTATATACCTACTTTCAAAATGACTGTACCAATACAATGTAAATTGTCTAATGGAAATGAATAAATGATGATGATGATGATGAAAAGCAATATTCCTCTGCCTGAATTTGAACATGACACCGAGAGAAGAGTTGAGCAAGTCTGGTCCCTTGAGGAGGACATCATTGAGACTGACTCTCATAGTTTTCGCAGCAGCATCAAAAATGAAACAAATTTCTCCAGGTTCATTTGAGTTGATTACTGCGAAATGTGGCAAGTACCATTTGTTTTTCTTTTTGTTTCACCTCCATAGGTGTCAGTTTTTTTTCACGTAGTTCTTCAGGACATAACTGGAACTTTTCTTCTCATACTCTTCGGCGAATTCAGCATCTCTGTCCATTTTTTTCTCGATGGAGAGCAGTCGGTTCATCGCTGATTTCTTATTATTCGGTAAATGGACATCGCCGCTTCTCCATAACAACCCGGTTGCCCACCTGTTTGAGCTCATTCTTCTAGTAGTTTTTCCTAAGATTTCTGTGGCTTGTTTATCTGATGAATTTTGAAGATTTTGACAATATCAAGATTATCGATTTCGAATGAATTCTTCACCAACTCATGAATATCGTCGTTCTCATGATGAACAAATAGAGAAAATTCATCGATATGACCTGAGTGAGGTTTTTGGATGTTTCCATGTACCACCCATCCCAATTTAGACTCAGACAAAATGAGTAAGTTTTTTCCTACTTCGTTGACCTCTCTGGCAATAATCAGGTCAATGTTGTCTTGGCCAATCAAAATGAGGGGTTTTGCATTCACCAGTGACGGCAAGTTGACTTGGTTGATATATTTACATTTCTTGGCGATATTTTTCATACATACAGTTTAAACAGGAAGACACAAATCGCATACTGTACAAACATTAGACATGACGTATTCTGTATCACTATTCTGTCCTTCGATGCTTATGGTTACTCTCCTTGAATTTCACACCTAAATAGTCATTTAATTCATCCATGTGGTTTTCAGTACCTCTGTAGGTCCGACGGCACCAATTTTCATAGCTGCAGCCTCATCCAGCATGAAAGGGCGTGAGTATTGATACTTCCCTCAGAACCGATGATTTCAACTGGGGCCATTCTGAGCAGAACTTCATTGAACTCAGAGTTGTTCACTTGGCAACTGACCTGGTGCTGCTGAAGTATAGTTTGTTGTGGTTCTCTACTCATCTCTTTGTGTAGTTATTGTTGATGTTTGAATAAACATTCATTTATTCCACAAATCTTCTTGAGTCTGCACGATTTTGTGATATGAGATGATGTAAGATAGCTAAAACAAACTGTACTCCTCTTCACCCATTCCCATTGAGACTCCACATCTAATTTCTTGAAATCGTCACATTTCTCCACTTTATGCCCTTCTTTTTTGCAAAATTTTCATTTCAATATTGACTTTCCATTTTGAGAAGAAGTCGTACATACATATTTCTTCTTTCTGTCGTATTTCCGAGTTGTATTTGTAACATACATCGCTGCTTCACTGTTTCCTTCTAACCACTCAGAGAAATCCATGATCGTGATGAGTTCACCAGGTGCTTCATTTTTCTTCTTCTCAACGATCTTTCGTCCCCATTCCATTTCCAAAGCAGGAGTCAGCTTATCAACGAGATCATTCAGAAGCTGATTGTTTGTTAAGTATTCTTGACCTTTCAGACTTTTCAGTGTCACTGCCAGATTTTTCACTTCGATTGAAAAGTCAGAAATATTACTCAGTTTGTCCTCTCTCATCATAGGAATTTTAACCGCTGACTCTATTAGCTCTTGAATGATAGTTTCCGGCCTACCAAATCGATTTTTTAAGGTTTTGATGATCTCATCCACTTCCTGGGTGAAGCTTGAAAGGGCATTGACAGACTCCTCAGCTCTGCCTCTCAAACTTCTCTGTAGTCAGATGATATTCTCAGCGTTCGAAAATTCACAGACACGTGATGAGTCGTTGAACTGAGTGATGAAATTCATTCATTCTCCAGGCTCTCCCAAAAAGGTTGAAAGATCTTTACTGAAGGTTTGTCTTGCCATGAATTTATTCACTTCGATATCTTCTTGGACGTAATTTGAAAGATGAAAATCATCCATTCAATCAACCCACCTTTGGACATACGAAGATTTGGATGTAACTGTTCGGACATCATCAACATTACCTTTGTAAGTTGATG